CCTCCGCCTCCTGGGTTCAAGCAATTCTGCTGCCTCAGCCTCCTGAGTAGCTGGGACTACAGGCGTGCGCCAACATGCCCAGCTAATTTTTGTATTTTAGTAGAGATGGGGTTTCACCATGTTAACCAGGATGGTCTCGATCTCTTGACCTCGTGATCCACCCGCCTCGGCCTCCCAAAGTGCTGGGATTACAGGCGTGAGCCACTGCGCCCGGCCTGTACTGGTTATTTCTAATGACATGTAGGTTCCTGCAGCCGTAGTGAAAGTTGTTTGAGAGTTAACTCTTCTTTCCAAAACAACCTCAGGATACTAAAGTATACAGAGTGCCTCTAATTATCTCTAGATTTTCTCTAGTCCTTAGAAATAGAGGCAACTCTGCCAGTAAGCTCTGAAATCCTGTAGGGTAGTTCCAAACTTCTGACAGGTACTCCCTTCTACAGTTTCTTTACTTGCACTTTTTAGGAAATAACGCCTGTTGAAAATAAATACTCCAAAAATAAATGCTTTAATCAAAAATAGATTTTATATTAGTAACCAAAAATTCTAAAATTAAGAGAGGTAGACAGGATTGTGTGTGTGTGCTTTTTTAACATCACTATCAATTGCTTCAAGTTCTGAGTTAACTGTTTTCCTCCAGTTTGAAACTACTTAGTGAAATCAAGTGCACCACACAGGTATTACCTAACACTATTACATAACACTCAACATTGAAAATAGAAAAGATACAATGTAAACTCTGACTGGTAACATTATAAAGCAAATTCCAGAAACATCTGCCAAATGTCACCTTCATTTTATGTCTGTAATCAATTGCTTACCTAGTTTTATTAAGAATTCTCGTTCCAAGTCTTGCACCTGCCTGATGGATTCTTCCAGAGAATTACAGAGTTTGATCTTTGGTCTTAGCAGTTCTAGTGTATCACTGATCATGTAATCTATATCAATAGGAAATGGATGGTCTTTTGTCCAAACCTCCAAACTTTTCTTCCACCAAACATAACGCTGATAACAAATGAAAAATAAAATTTAGGTATAAGAAACAACAAAAAATGTGAAAATAAACTATACTTTGCTGTTACCTAGTTGTAATAGCTACGCTAAAAGGTTGTATAAGATACCTACCATTCCTATTAATGGTCAACAGCCATGATCCTATTCTGATCATTTCCCTCTGTCTATACAAGTTTTGAGCTATTTGGTGAATTTATTAAGTATCTTCTTCTTATAACTGTTGCAGTTTTTTTCAAGGCAAGGAAAAATTATAAATAAAATACCAAATAAATTTTCAGGTACTCCAAAACAAGGTAGAAACCCCAGACCAATATCCTATATTTAATTTTACAAATATAACCAAATTCAAGGCCATTGTTGTGATACATTTTCACTTTCTCTGTGCTACCTGGTTTGATTTTTGAAGAGTTAACTGTAGCTGAAGATATGGTTTTTGAAATATATAAAAATCACTAATCATCAACAAGCATTTATTGAACAACTACTGTGTATATGGCACTGTGCAGACACTTTCCCTCTCTACTGTAAGCCTGGTTCCCACACTGTATTTTATACTTCTTCTAATTCCTAAATTTACATAAACTGAAGGCACAACCCAAGAATGTTCTAGTATATGAGCAGGTATTCGTCTGGAGGTTTTACATTTCCTCTCCAGTTTGTTCCAGGTCTTTGCTACTCAAAATGTGGACCTCATCTGGGAGCTTGTTGGAAATGTAGACTCTGAGGCCTCCCCCTAGGCCAACTGATTCAGAATCCACATCTTCACAATGTCCCCAGGGGACACAGGAAAGTTTAGAAGCACTGCTCCAAGTGATCCTTTCTTCCTGGCCTTCCAGTACTGAACTGTACACTCCATGTGGTGGGTGGAACACAGAAACCACATCTCCCAGGCCTCACTCACTTCTGACTCCAATTTCTAGGTATGGCTCTGCTAAGCCTTTCTGTCTGTTAATCAATTTGGAAAATATTTTTGTCTCTTTTGCTCCTGAATATTTCTGAGTTTTTCTTTACTTTCAGCTTAAGATGTCAGAGTGAATCCAAATAAGGATTCTCTTCTGAAAGAGATTCTGCTTTGGGTGCTGGTATAGCTGCCATTTTGTAACAAAACTCTGGCTTTTATTACAGTATCCAACTTAAAAGGGTCCTTACATACAACAGGGACTCCAACCCTCAAATCTGCAAGCCCCTTTCCCCACTTTCTGCCCATCAATTCAGAAAGTAAAGGAGTGGTAAGTTTCCCTCTATTGCAAAGGAATAGTGGTAGGAGAAAATTAACAGACTACAATTCCCCGAGAATATTAATCCCTGACTTAACACATGCTACCATGTGGATGTATTTTTGATTCCTCAAGTTGTAACATTAAACTTATTTTTCTCACTAACGGGTAAATGAAAATACTAACAATTGTGATTTTATAGAATCAAATGGTACTATCAGCACTTAGTAAAATTTAAAGCAACTGATAGTGAGTTGTTCACCCTAACCGGCACTTAGAAAATTGTATTTCACGGGAAATAGTAATTGGGCTCCAGCTAATCAACCTACAAGTTAAATTCTGAAACATTAACTTTACAGAGGTTGTAGTACTGTTTCTGTATTTGTATATGAATTTAATTTGTACTGTACTTGGTCTAAATCACAAGTTTATATAACTAACCAAAATTAAGATTTGGAAAGCACAATCCAAGAATTTATGAATAATGAACAAATACTTCTTTCTGTATTAAAAATAACACATTTTCCTCAAAAGTGATAGGTTTTTTCCTTTAAAAACAAATTAGGCTGGGCACAGTGGCTCAAGCCTGTATTCCAGCACTCTAGGAGGCTGAGGTGGGAGGGTCATCTGAGGTCAGGAGTTCAAGACCAGCTTAACCAACATGGTAAAACCCCTTCTACCAAAAATACAAAAATTAGCTTAGTGTGGTGGTATACGCCGGCAATCCCAGGTACTCCAGAGACTGAGGCAGGAGAATTGCTTGAACCTGAGAGGTGGAGGCTGCAGTAAGCCAAGATTGCCACAGCACTCCAGCCTGGGTGACAGAGCAAGACTCAGTCTCAAAACAAACAAAAAAATTAAATCTTTCGGAAACAAGAATTTGGGCTGGGAACAGTGGCCCACACTTGTGATTGTAATACTTTGGAAGGCTGAGGCAGGAGGTTTATTCGAGGCTAGGAGCTCAAGACCAACCTGGCCAACATAGCAAGACCCCATTCGTTATTTAAAAAAAAGAAACAAGAATTTGAGACGAAAACCAGAATATAGATGAGTGAAAACATCAACATATATATTAAAAATCACAAGTAATTTAATGAATAAATTACTGTATTAAATATCAGTCCATAAATTACTGAACCAAATTCAAACTGTACCAAAATAATTCCCCAAATTAATGAGCAATCATTATCAATCATAAAAGTTACATGTGGCTGGGCACAGTGGCTTACGCCTGTAATCCCAGCATTTTGGGAGGCCAAGGCGGGTGGATCACGAGGTCAAGAGATTGAGACCATCCTGGTGAACATGGTGAAACCCCGTCTCTACTAAAACTACAAAAAATTAGCTGGGCATGGTGGCACGTGCCTGTAGTCCCAGCTACTCAGGGGGCTAAGGCAGCAGAATTGCCTGAACCCAGGGGGCGGAGGTTGCGGTGAGCCAAGATCACGCCATTGCACTCCAGCCTGGGTAACAAGAGCGAAACTCGGTCTCAAAA